AACTCTCCAAATCCCACCCACTGAAACCTAAAATCTCCAAATTCCAGGCCACTTAAACGTAAAACCCATATGGTAATTTCCCAAAATAAGGGGACCCCAATATAGACCCCAAAATTCTATAGTCCTTATTATAGGGACCCCCCAAAAGGGACCCCTGATTTTGGGAAACCGCCATATAGGAATTGCGGGCAGCCTACTACTAGACCTTGCAGCAGCCTGCACACGTTTCCCACATTGCCCTTAGGGGCCCCGTCCCTACTTTTCCATTATCACAATATAATCCCAATATATACCCTAATATTACCCCAATATATAATCCCAATATATACCCTAATATTACCCCAATATATAATCCCAATATATACCCTAATATTGCCCTACCCTGTTGTAAAGGGCACACTTGGCGGACCCAGGAGCTGTCTGGCCAAGTTTATCCGGCAAGTCAGCATCGCATCGAGCCTGCAGCAGCACCTCTACCACTTGCACGTCATCGACGGTTCTTGCACATGCCATTCCTGCACTTTTTGTGGTAATATTAGGGTTATATTGGGAATATATATTGGGGTAATATTAGGGTTATATTGGGAATATATATTGGGGTAATATTAGGGTTATATTGGGAATATATATATTGGGGTAATATTAGGGTTATATTGGGAATATATATTGGGGTAATATTAGGGTTATATTGGGAATATATATTGGGGTAATATTAGGGTTATATTGGGATTATATACTGGGGTAATATTAGGGCTGCCGAATTTCGAACTTTGCGGTTTGTCGGCTATTTGCTCACATGAAACAACCTTATGAAACTATATTCACGAAGTCCCCAGCGTCGCAGAGGTGTCAGCCCGTTGTTGTCGGCATGGTTCATGTTGCAACCAGCTCCCAGCAGAGCACGCACAATTTCCGGATTCTGCCGGTGTGCAGCAATTATCAGGGCTGTGCGGCCCTGGTTGTCAACATCTTCTTTGTCACAGCCTGCCTCAAGCAACACAGAAACCACTTCCACTCGACCTCTCCTTGCTGAGTTGTAAGGAATAATAGAAAGGTGGCATTGTGGGTCTTAACCAGACCCCAGGGCCCCAGATACATAGGGGAAATACAGGGTGAAGTCCCCTTAAGCAATCATGTAGGGATCTTCTTGACATTGAGACACTTCCAAATGTTACGCTAATTTACGACCAGTCTCGACACAGCAACCTCCATTGGGCGTACTCCTGCCGTATCCCGCAAGTTTGGATCCTGAACATGTAGCTCAGAACTCTACCGGCTGGGTCGGTCCAATAGTTGTCTGGAGTCTGCAGGACTGCGACTGAATACTGTCTAAGCATATTCCGAAAGTGCCTTAGCCGGCAAGAACACACCACAGAAGCACTTTGAAGCTCTAGACTGCCTTGTGCCGGGGGAAGGTCTGTAGGCCCAAACATACTTGCCCAGGATCTTGTTGAGCAGAGCCTTTCTCAATCTTCCATCCGAAGCAATGGCCCGGACCCCATCGACTTTCACCTCCATGCTCCCTAAACCCTATCCTCAAACCCGAGGCCCTAGACCCTGGGCGACTAACCCCAAATCCTATCACTGCGTCTCCTGCGGGCGCTGGAGAATGGCATCCACTTTCGCTAACCTGATCCAAGTGTTTATAGGGCTAGCTGGATCAAAACGTCTATAGTGGATGGGGATCAAGTTTGGGTACAGGACTGATAGGATTTAGTGCTCAAAAGGTTGGGGGTGGATGTTTTTATCATAATATTGGTTGGTTCATGCTAAACCTCCTGCATGACCTTCGTATGTTGCTATAACACGATGATTCCGAAGCTGTACAGCGGGCAGGGTCGTGCAGGGTTTCAACGCAGCTTGCAAGGGACATGTGCGGGTTGTCCAATATTTTCCTTGACCCGGAAACCACCCTAAAGGCTAGACCCTACTAATTCTTTTTAACTTACAACTTTCATTGACCCTTTTCTGCTGCTTTGCCGGAGCAAAGCTCTCATCACACTCTGCTGACGCAACTCTCGGCGTGCTTCTGCGGATCTTTCACGACCAAATAAAAGCACCGTTCGCTTATTGCATGTTCCCGCTCTAGAAATAAATTTCAGACAAAGCTTTTAGGACTTTTTCAGGCTTCAAACACCATTAAGGAGAATCTACAGTATAGGGAAGATCTAAAATGGGGGGGCGGGGCGGATGCTTTTAAATGTCTGCCCTAAGGACTGCCCCGCTGCCGCAGCTTTCGTCATCTCGTTGCGCTCTTCCGGGGAGGCCTGGGTCGCCATAAGAGGTTATACAGGGATGCCTGGTGTTTTTCCTAAATAGGGGGACCCCACTATGGACCCCAATACTGTAATCCTTATGATAGGGACCGCCAGAAAGGTGCCCCTAGTTTCGGGAATCCACTCGTATAGGGACTCAGTTTTATGTACTTTCACATAAGCCCTAAACCCTGGGGTGTAAAGTGGGAGGAATTCAGGGTTGAGCTGAAGGTGAGCTGCAGCATTCTCCTGGCCCTGCGGCTGATGTAGGAGTTTAATACCGTGAGGGCACCACGAAAACCACGGAAAGCAGCATTGGGCCTTAAAACATAGGAAATGTCAACAGAAAACATCCGGTCCGAATGAGCTCCCCCGACTCTGCTTTGTGTTTCGCAGCCCTTTGCTCTTGGCACACCTCAGAAGACAGCGAGAAACCGGGCCCTGTACCCTGAGCCCTCTTTCATTGTCGCTCATCCACACATAATTCCTTGTGGACACCAAGAGGGACCCGTGCCTCTACCAAATCCACAAACACCCAAAAACTCAAACCCTGCGCCCTGAGCCCTGCACCTTCCCATCCAAGGCTCCCGCGCAAGCAAACCCTTTCAGACTCAAATCCCCAAACCTGGGTTACTAACATATAAATTTCAGATGACTAGGGTGCCTGGTTATACCGCCAATGCAACATGATCCCTCTCATATGGCCCAAACATCTAGGTGCCCGCCTATGTAACTCTCCTTAGTTGTTGAACCCCAGAGTCAGTCGTGAAGCCCACAATGATCAACGTTAGGTCCATGGGCACATTCTGGGCTGCGGTGGGGGTTCAGTGGCTTAGGGTTCGAGGTTTAGGGTTTGGGCCTGGGTTTAAAAGTTTGGGGTTTGGGGTCAGGCATTACATGTTGGTATTAAAAAGTTAGGTAGGAGCGCGGACAGGTTTGAAGCCTCTATCAGAAAGCTAGCTGCTGCAAAAACACGTTCGGATGGAGGCAGCAGAATCCCAACTGTTTCCTGTTGCGGAGCACTGCCTGGCTTGGAACGTTTAGCTTGCGTTCCTGAATTGAGCGGGTCTTGTGTCAAGTGATTCTGGCACTGTGCAGTAGGTGCTCGTCTGAACATTTTACTATTGTAGTTTCAATTTTCTTTTCCACTATCCCAATAAAACCCCAATATACTATAATATTCCCAACACAACCTCAAGATACTATAATATACTAGTGTACCCGATACAGCCCCAAAATATTATAATTTACTATAACATACCCAATATAACCCCAATATACTGTACTAATCTGTAATATACCCAAGATAACCCCAATATACTATATGGCCCAGGATCCAGCATGGCAGCATCATCCAAGTCCGTGCTTTCATGCAAAAGTCGTTGTTGGAACCGCCGATGTCCACAAAGTGGTTGCAGCTGTTGCTTCAGTATCCTCCCACGCGAGTTAGCCCCAAGCTACTCAAATATAATTTCCAGAAGCTCCCACGTGGTGATGTATTACATATTTATGCAGGGTCATTTAGAATAATTTCAATTCCCAAGTTAAGCCATTTTGGTAGTTTTCCCTATGTAAATCATCATTTAGGGTGAGGTCGGGTGAGGTCGATCTAAATTGCCCAATTTCTGGCCTTTAGGCATAGATCCCTATGTCCGCGCAGCCGTCATAGTCCTATAGTATAAAGGATCCTGCGCAAATAGCAAAAGGTCAGTATAGCATGTACCGAAACGGAGTGATCAAACACGAAATCGTTTCGTTAAACGTGTCGCAAGTTGAGGAGGTAGTGCCCATTCGTAACGGGCCAAGCAGAGAAGAATCAACATCGGACAAAACTGGGTCCGGCAACACAAAAGAAATCATTAGTCCCCTGAGCCGTCCTCACGCTGAGCGCATCCTCCACCGGAACTACAAGCAGCTCCTCACCAGAGGGCCTCGTCACGCGAAGCATGGCTGCGCGAGGTGAAACTCAGAGGACCTGAAAGTCATCCTCAGCCGTCTAGGACGCGTACTGTATGCCGACACTGTGTCCTTTCCGAGGCTTCATGGCCTCATCCATCACACCTCCAGGGTACCTTATTCAAATCCTGAGGTGAGTGTCTTCAGCTTCAATCTCAAGGGTCTTCAGAAGGTTTTTGGATTGAGTGCTGAGAGGTGGAAAGTTGACTGAAGTATTTTTTAAGGGTATAGTATATTATATAGGGGCTAGAACAGTAATAGAAAATAAAATGGAAACTACTATAGTACAGGCTTAAAGTTGTAAGGATCCCAGAGCTGAAATGTCTTGCAAAGGCCAGGCACTCCGCTATGGTGCTTGAAACATGGTTCCAGCCTCTGAACCGAGATGATTTGGCTGCAGAGAGGATGCAGGAGTATTTCTACTTTCAAGTTGCTCCGCGCAGACAAAATAAAAGCAAGAGCAACTTAGATGTAGCCTCCTTAGACCTATCATAAAAATGATGTGTTGAATACTTCCTGAGGGTTATACCAAAAAAAAGGAAAATATTTCCGAAGGAGACTACAGCTAGGGGTCACTCAGGAGATGTGTGAAAACCTCGTCCATCCCAGCAAGGCTACGACTTGACATCGCCTAGAACGAATAGAGCGTGCTGTTGACGATGGTAACCCAGACCCCAGATTAATAAACCTCCTCCCCCCAATAGGGATTATAATAGGGATCCTAATAACAAGGCCCTTAAAAGGCGGGGGTTCATTCATCATGGGTCTACATTAGCTTATGAAGGTCCTTTGTTGCACTTTCGTGACAGCTCTGGGGCTTCTGGTATGTAGAAGATACAAATCGTGGCATAGCAAAAAGTAGGATTGCTAGTGCGCGTTGCAAACCAGGCCCTAAACCTTCCCCGGAGGCTCTGAACCCCAAGCCCAAAACCTTGACCCTACAACTTAAACCCCTACATATCCCTATATACCCCTCTTTATCCCTCTGTACCAGCAAATACCCATATACAACCCTATATAACCCTATATAACCCTATATAATCTCATATGCCCTGTATAACCAGGGTCCCAGAGCCATTCGCAGCCTTCTCGGCTTGGCGCTTCGACTCTTCGCGCTGTCGTCGAAGGTCTTCGCGCAACTCCTGTGTTTAGGGGTCTTAGTTTGTCGTCTGCCCCTGCGTCTGCAGAATGTTTTTTCGAAAAGCTGGCTTGGGTTTTAGGGGTTAGGGTGTAGGCTTTAGGTTTCCAGGGCTTACGGGTTGTGCTTCGGAGGCCTTCGGGCTTCAGAATTCAGATGTTCGAAGTGCTGCAGGGTTCAGAATTTCAGGGTTCTAGGCTTTGAGGTCGAGGCCATGGAGTCCAGCGAGGCTTTGTAGAGAGCGCGCGCGCTTCCCCTGATGTACAACCTGCTGATATCAAAAGCAACTCCTGCTCCTTTGTTGCCGAGCTGTTGATACTGATCAACTTTAACTTGTATTGTAGAAGCTCAAGAGCCACCCGTGGAGTTTTTCAACCGTTCTTGGCACTCAAAGGGATGCGCCCTGTCACTGCTATGTCTTGGCTGCATGATGGGTATGCTGCAACTTACAAGGCTCCTAGATGTTATGGAATACCTTGGGATAACTGCTTGCTGAAGCCATGTGATGTACTATCATTTGCGCTTTCTGACTCCCAGACTGGCACCACGATTCCGAGTCTATACACCGGCCTACCCAGATTAGAAGGCCAGGGCCTTGCAACTGTGATTTTGGTTTTAGGGTTTAGGGTTGTGCGATTGAACATGCAAGGTTTGGGGATGTGACTAGAACACACCACCACAGGCATTGCTGAGTGTGTCTCAAGTTTGCAGAGAATAGTATTGATTACCCGATAGTCTACCCAGTGACGAAGCGGCGCCCTAAACCCGAAACCCCAAACCCTCAGCACATAACTGGCAGAACACCCTAAACCCTAAATCCTGAGTACTTCCATTCCTGGAAGGGTTGGTCTGACAGAACCTCTAAAGCCCAAACTTCGACCCTGACCCAGAGCTCATAT